AACGGTTAACAATAGCTGCTACTTCTCTGTGTATGAAGTTGAATACTAAAAGAAAATGCTGACAAATATTTCTTCTTCTTATTGTTATACCATACATACCTAGGTTGATGCCAATGCCATGGATCTAATTTATATTATTTGTAGGTAATAACAGTTTATGTATTATTATCATTGTGCAATAAACTGTTATTGCAATTGTCATATCCAAAACCAAAAATATATACTGATACAAGAGGTATCACATACTTGTGGGAAGCAACAAAAAGCTCTTCATTTTTAGCTCCTTTTAGATTCTCTGCTCCCAATTTTACAAGGAAAGATCTCCAATGAAGTCGCTCCTCGGAAGGAACTCCATGAAAGCTGCAAAGATGAATAGATAATATTGAAGCGGTCAGTGAGCTTTGCCCTTTGTAAAAAATGACATTGGTGACAAGATCTGTAACAAGTATTCCATCAACATTTGTAATTAACAAAATTTTCTAACATTTCCATTTGGATGAACAACACAGGGATGGAGTATGAGGAGAGTAGCAAAACTCCAGGCAGAACAAGATTACAAACCAATCTATTTTGCAAGTGAGCTCATTAAGACGATTTCTTGACCTGAACAAATGTGACTTATGGATGTATGGATAAGGATACCATCTTGTTAGCCATATGCAACTTAATGCATTGATGACATCTCATTTAGACAATAGAAGTTGTTCTAGCATCTCCTCTTAATATTGTAGTTTGATCTAAGGTGAAAGCACGTTGATTGGAGGTTTTGATGGAAATATGAGTATAGTATAGTATAGTATAGTGTCGAAGGAGGATAGCACACGAATTGCAATGAGTCAATGACTCTACAGTAGGCAATCAGAGTTATGAAAGAGCATTGGGATCAAGTCCAAATCTACTCAAAGAGCAATCAAGCTATTAATGACTTACTATAAACGTAAAATAATCGAGGTACATGAATACACACAAATTAGCTATGCAAAACAAAGTTAAGGTGGAAAATGACTCCTGGCAGTTGATAACAAAAAGCCACTGTGATCCCCACTATTCAATGCATATACTAAGGCAAACATATAGAAAAAGGGTGATAAAAGGAACCCATGAATCCAGTAAACTAGTATGCGGTATGTCATTCAAATGAATATGATTTCAAAACGCAGTGGTATATATAACTCTTTAATGTAGTAAAGAAAAAGACATTTTATATTGATGATGAGGAAACAATTATAATATCTCAAACCTTCTAACCTTGCAATAACAAGCTAATATGGCTTATAAACACAAGAAAGAAAACATTTTTTTCAATGAATCTTTCGCAATAATTTTTCTGTAAAGTCCACCAAGATCAAATCTTTCCAATCTTTACATAACAGCAATCAAACTAGGGAAAAACCCAATTCCCCCCAAAACCGATAGAATTCATATCCAAACTTAAAATTTCCAAGATCGCACACCCCAGTAGGCGGCCCCCCCCTCCCGCACGGTCCCAAAATTTTTTTTTTAATTAACAGTGAAATCTGAATGAATGATTTCGATCAAATCTGACCTAGAACAATCACAGATTGAGACACAGAGAGATCAAGAGACAGAGTAAGAGAGATCTGGTTACCGCTCGACGAGGATGTTGCCATCGCTATTGGAGAAGAGAACCGCCAGCAACATCTTTTCTCTCTCTAGAAATTAAAGTGTGGAACAAGGAAAATTCTCACCTCTCTCTCTCTCTCTCCCTAGAAATAAAAATGGAGCTCAAGATTAAAAAAAAAAGGGGTAAATTTAATAATAAAAGAACCCCTGGACTTTGGGATGTTTTGCACAAATTGACTGTGAACTTAAAAATGCCAGAAAACCCTCTTAAACTTTTTGGATTTCACGACGCCCGTAAACTTTCCAAAAGTTCAACCGGCTTAAATACCACTTTTCAAAGATACCCGAACAAAAATGAATGAAATTATTAATAGCCCCCTCTGATTTGTAGTTCTTCAACCTTGTTCAGTTGATGGAAGGTTAATGAAACTTGGGGGCCGTCTGGCAAAGTGCTAAAACTAACTTCGGCTGGAATAAGTCTGATCCAATAACTCTAGTTCTAGATTGACATTAAAAAAAATGTTGGGCTAAATCAGTCAGTCCTTATTTGGCCCAAATTTGTCTGAAAACTGGACCAAATTAAAAAACCAAAGTCACCGTGGTTTGAAATAGTATCGAATAAGTTTGGAAAAAAAAAAAAAGCCCACCAGTGATTTCATACGATTATGTGAAAATAAGTTAGCGATGACATTCTTTAGTTAACCACATCAAAAGGTGAAGATCTCATTCCGATCCTTTTTAAATGCAAACCTTATTATAACACTCTGCATATGAGCTGCTTGTTACTTAAATCTTGGCAGCTCATGTCATTTTACTCATACAACCTCAGAAGTTGATCATCATCAATAAACTTTGCAAATACATATCAGAGTTTTTCAAATATTAAGTACAACACAACAATAGTTACATTCACACAACCCTCCAATTTCCAAACATGAAGGGGAAGTGACTTCCCCAACCTCTCAACAGATAGGGAGGGATTAAACAACCATTAAAAATTATGGGAAGGAAACTTAATTTTACCCTAAAAACAACTCCCCAAGACAGCAGCAGCATTCACATATGTCCTCAGCGGCGAAACAGCAACATATTGCTCCGAGGCTGCAAATTTCGATTAATAAATTAATTAATAATCTTTAATATATAAGCTAAAAGCTTCATAAATTTGGCCCATTTGGAGATGACTCCTTAAACTTTGGAAATATCACTTGAACCCTCAACTTTTGGACGGTCCACAAAGCCACGCAATGCTTGAAGTTGGGTGTTTAACGGACGGCCTAAAAGTTTGAGGGGGGTTTAGTGATTTCCAAAACTTGGGTGGTTATCTAAAAGAAAAGAGTATCTCGGGGGGTTTTTTCTGAACTTTACCCATTGTATATCAAATTACAAAAATTGGGATCTCTAGTATGGATGGTGAAAATTATGATATTTAGACGTACCATCCTGCAAGAAAACCTGTTTTGGCGCCAGATCCACCGTTGCTACCTGTACTTCGTGGCGGACGCGAATAATCGTACTGAGGTGGTGCCATCACAGGAGGCCCCTGGTAATAACCTGTGTAAAACTATGATTTATTAATATATTCTAATTCATCTCAAAATTTATAAAAATTAGAGTTCATCTTATTTCTTGATTTTTTTTGTAATATCCCTTAAATTAGGATACAATATTATAAACCTCAACTCTCATCACAGCTTTGGTGTTTTTCGGGTTCTGGTGACATTTATATGATATCAGAGCAATTCAGATTTAAACTATAGTGCATATGCTAATCTTTTAAGAATAAAAAAAAATATGTCTCACGTTTATAAGAATTTTTTTTAGAGCTATAAGGCCCGAACAAAATTTTTTGTTTCCTCCGATGGAAAGGTTGTATAACAACTTGCATAGAAATTGTTATTATCTACGTCAGAATTCTCTCTCCTCTCGTTGGATTTTGCATAGAACGGGAAAAACTAGCCCCGCAAAAAAGAAAACACTTTCCATTCAATCGAATAATTTTTTTTTTAAATTTTTGAAGAACATGAATTATCCATTATCTTAATATACAAGTAGTTTTGGGGCTAAAACAACCTTACTATATGTTCGTAACTTTAATAGATGTACGTACGTGTTCAACTTCAATGTAGAAGTTTATATACTATCTTCATATTTAGGACTTTCTTCTAAAGATGTTTCTTTTCTTATTAGGGCCTGTTCTTTTGCCTAAAAAAAAGAGGGAAATCAAAGAAATGGGAAACTATTAAAATAAAGAATTGTTTTTGGAGTGTTTGGTTGGCTAAAAAAAATAAGGAAATCAAAGAAATGGAGATGAAATAATGTTAGTTGTCACATTATTATTGGATGATGTGAGTGATTTTTTAAGAAAACTAGTTTTGATGTTGTTTGGTTGGCGAAAAAAATAAGGAAATGAATTATAATAAATCTATTTCCTGTAGTTTGTTGTTTTCTTTTGTTTGGTTCATTTTTAAAAATAAGAAATGAAATGAGATGAGATGAGTTGTCATTGTATTATTGGATGGTGTGACCCACACTTAAGAAAAGTGTTTTCATAACTTTTTGGGATGAAAACAAAAAAATGAAATGTTAATGAGATGAGGTGAATTGTTATAATATTTTATTAGATGATATGAGTGATTTGAAATAATGAGAAGAGATGAGATGAGTGATGTTTGGATGAAAATAATATTTTATTAGATGTGATGGATGAGTTGTTAGATGAAAATAATATTTTATTAGATGTGATGGATGAGTGGTTAGATAAAAATAATATTTTATTAGATAATGTGGATGCGTTGTTGGATGGAAATAATATTTTATTGGATGTTGTGGGTGAGTTTTAAGGATGGAAATGGAAGAAATGATACTTTTTTAGATTTTCACCTTTTCCATTTTCATTTCTTGATTTTTAGAAAATAAACGAACAGGCCCTACTACAAGGTGTCAAAACACGGGGCGTTACGCTTTTCTTCTTCTTCTTTTTTTTGTTGACAAGGGAAACCTGGTCAGCAACTCAATTACGCTTTTCTTCTTGACAAAGGAGAGAGTATACATAAAGCTCCTCTTTCTTTGGCTTTGACAAAGAGAAAGGGGGAAGAAAGAAATAGAAATCATATATGTAATTACCTTGAGCAGGATAAGGCTGAGGGTAACCTTGCTGAGGATATCCTGGCTGAGGATAACACGGTTGGGGATAACCATGTTGAGGATAACCTGATTGAGGATTATAACCCTGTAGCGGATATCCTTGAGCTGGATAACCCTGCGGAGGGCAACTTTGCGGTGGTTGAGGCTGTTGACATTGTTGTTTTGTAGGCTCCATGAAGAAAATATTGATTTTCTTTCGCCCACAAAATAAGGTAAAAGAGAGTTTTTTTAAAAAAAATGAGAATATAAAAAGATAATGCGTGTTAAATGAATTGTAGAAATGGAAGTAATAAATTAAGATAACTAGGAGGAGGAAGAAAAGAGGTTTCGTTTCCTCTCCCTTCTTCTCCTTCTCTCCTCTTTTTTCATAGTAGCTTTAGTCATTTTCTTAATTTTTTCCTCCTTTTATTCAGATTAAATTTTGCGGAAGTTCCTTCTTTTTTTTTACAGAAGGTTTTGGACCACAAACATTTGGAGCACAAAAAATTTCTAAATTGGGATTAGATCGTGCATGGTTGGATTGTAGATTCAGTAGCTTCAAATAATATGAGGCCTGCTTCTTTATCATTATTGCTAATAATTTCCCCATCTAATAACTAGTGTTTGTGATATTTCTCTTACTCATTCTCTGTGTTTAATTATTATCTGTATGAAATATTCTGGGTTTTTTTTCCTAGTCAGTAATCTATTAGTAAGCGTACTAAACAAGCCAACTGCTCAATAATCTTTTATCCTACTCATAGTCTAAAACCATCATTTCAGGCATTTAGACTATTATTTCTGTACTTGACAATGTTCAAGAATCACTACAACATTCTGGTTGATGGGCTGTAATGGAAGATAAACTGAAGGCTCGATCTTCAGAGGACTAACACTTGGATAATGGTGAAGCCTCATGTTGGCTCTAATTAAGTTGGTAGGATGTCGTTGGGTCTTTACTATGAAGCATAACCCAAATGGGAAGGCTCGTCTTCTAGGTTTCACTCAACTACGTGAAGTAGACTATGAGGAGACTTTCTCACCTGCGATAAAACTTACATCAATTCGACTATTAGTCTCTTTCGCATCTAGCTAATATTGGCCCCTTCATCAGTTAGATGTCAAAAATACTTCTGTTCATTGGTGACATTAAAGAGACTGTCTATATGAAGTCGCCTCCTGATTTTCAGTGTCAGGGAAAGCAATTGGTATGTCGCTTGAATAAGTCTCCTTCTTAAGCAATCTCCTCGTGCGTCAAGTTGTTTGCTCACAATGATTCAAGCACAATAGAGCTGATTATGCTCTATTTACACATCATTGTTCTCGTAGGGTAGTTATTCTATCGGTGTCTCACAGGGCATTGATAGTGTTAAATGACACTCCACTTCTCGGTTTCTAACAAAGGATTTAGGTCCTTTCCATTACTTCCTTCAGATAAAAGTTTCCCAATCGAAGGATAATATTTATCTTTCATAAAGCAAATATGTGTTAGATTTATTATCGGAGATACGCCTACTTGATTGTCGTCATAATAACACACCCATGGACCCAACTTTGCGGCTCTCAGCAACCACCTCAGACACACCACTTTCTAGCCCTAATTGATATTGATGAACGGTCAGAATGCTTATTTACTTGACAACAACTCGATCTGACATAGCATATGCTGCTAGTTGCATTAGTCAATTTACGTATGCACCAACCACAATTCATTGGGAGGTTGTTCTTCACATCTTAAAGTATCTCAATAAGTCATCAGGTCAAGCATCCACATAATTATTTTTCAATGGGTCGGAATAATTAAAAATAGCCTAAAATCGTGGATTATAGCTCTGGAATTGTCAATTTTGGACTCTACGAAATTATTTGCTCATGGATCGAAAATGAGTAAAAATAGCCCAAAATCATGGGTTATTGCTCTTAAAATATTAAATTCCGACCTCAACAAAATTATTTGTCAATGGATAAGAATGACCAAAAAATCATGGGTTACTTCAAATTTGCACTCCGTGAAATTATTTGCCAATAGGTTATAAATGGCCAAAAGTTATGGCTCATAAAGTTATGAATTTTGACTTCTCTAAAATTATTTGTCAATGGGTAGGAACAATTTAAAATGGCCAAAAATTATGGATTATAACTCATGAATTCATGAATTTTGGACCCCACAAAATTATTTGCTAATGGGTTACAATGAATAAAAATGACAAAAAACCATAAGTTATAACATATTAAATTATGAATTTTGAGCTTCGTAAAATTATTAATGGGTCGAAATGACTACAAATGACCAAATATAATAAGTTTAAGTTTATAAAATTGTGAATTATGCATTCCACAAAAATTATTTGTGGAAATGAATAAAAACAGATAAAAATTGTGGGTTACAACTAGCAAAATTATGAATTTTAGCCTCTGCAAAAGTATTTGCCTAATGGATAAGAACGACTAAATGTGGCCTAAAATCGCGAGTTATAGCTCATAAAATCTTAAATTTTGGACTTCGTGAAGTTATTTTTCAATAGGTCAAAATGAGTAGAAATGGATAAAAATCATGAATTATAGCTCATAAAATGATGAAGTTTAGCATCTATTTTGCCAATGGGTCACAATGACTAGTAATTGTTAAGATTCATGGATTATAGCTGATGAAATCATGAATTTTAGACTCAATGAAATTATTTATCATTGGATTAGAACGACTAAAAATGGACAAAAATTTGTTAGTTATAGCTCATGAAATTGTAAATTTTAAATTTGACGAAATTATTTATAAATGGGTCAAAATGACTAAAACAGATTAAAAATCATGGAATATAACTCATGAAATTCTGTCAAAATAACCAAAAGTGGACATAAGTACTAGATTATAGCTTGTGAAATCGTTAATTTTGACTCCTTGAAAATATTTGCCAATGGGTCGAAAAAATAAAATTGGCAAAAAACCGTAGGTTATAGCTCTTGAAATCATGAATTTTAGCCAAAATAATTATTTACCAATGGGTCAAAAAGATTAAAATTTGTCAAAATTGTTGGTTATAGCTCATGAATCATGAATTTTTTACTCTGCTAAATTATTTACCGAATAGGTCAAAACGAGTAAAAATCGACAAAAGTTGTGATCAATAAGTTATGAAATCATAAATTTTGGGCTCCGCTAAATTATTTTGCCAATGGGTCAGAATGACTTAAAATGACATAAAATCATGTGTTATAGCACATGAAATCATGAATTTTTGAACTCCGAAAAATTATTCGCCAATAGGTCAAAATGAGTAGAAATGGCTAAAAATTATTGGGTAAAGCTCATGAAATCAAGAATTTTGAGCTCTGCTAAATTCTTTGCCAATAAGTTGGCGCGACTAATAATTGCCATAATTCATCAATTATAGCTCATGAAATTGTGATTTTTCGACACTACAAAATTATTACCACTTGGTCCGAAATATATAAAAATAAAAAAATCATGGGTTATAGTTTATGCAATTGTAAATTTTAGATTTTACAAAATCATTTGTAAATGAGTCAAAACAATTAAAAATGATCAAAAATCATGGAATATAGCTCATGAAATTGTGAAAATTAAAATCGATGGAATTATTTGCTAATAGATTGAAACGAATAAAAATGAATAAAAATTATGGGTTATATCTCATGAAATCATGAATTTTAATCTTCATGAAATTATTTACCAATGAGTCAGAACGAGTGAAAATGAAAAAAAACGTGGATTATAGCTTGTGAAATCAAGAATTTTAACTCGTGGATTACAGGTAATGGAGAGAAATCACTACAAATGACCTAATGGCCTAAAAATGTGGGTTACAGATAATGCGATCGTAACTTATAGACTTCAAAAAATTATTTGCTAATGGGACGAAATGAGTAAAAATAACCATAAATTGTAGGTTATAGCTCATAAAATTATAAATTTCAATCTTTGCAAAATTATTTGCAATTGGACTGGAACAATAAAAAAAATACCAAAAATTATGGATTATACTCATGAAATTGTGAATTTTGAACTATATAAAATTATTTGCCAATGGATCAGAACAACTAAAAATGGCAAAAAATCATGGGTTATAGCTCATGAAATTTAAAATTTTAACTCCCATGAATTTTTTGTCAATGTGTCAAAACAATTACAATGACCTAAAATCATGGGTTATATCTCATAGAATCGTGAATTTTAACTCCCATAAAATTTTTGCCAATGTATCAAAACGATTAAAATGGCCTAAAATCATAGGTTATATCTCATAAAATCGCTAATATTGGACTCCATGAAATTATTTGCCAATAGGTTGGAATGACTAAAAATGGCTAAAAGTCGTGAGTTATAGCTTAAGAACTCATGATTTTGGTCTCCGAAAAATTATTTGCTAATGTGACAATAGGATTAAAAAGGACCTAAAATCATGGGATGTAGCTCTTGAAATCGTGAATTTATGACTCTGAAAATTTATTTGCCAAAGGGTTAAAACGAGTAAAAAAGACCCAAAATTTTGGGTTATAGCTCGTGAAATTAAGAATTTTGGTCTCCTCAAAATTATTTTTAAAAATGACCTAAGATTGTGAATTATAGCTCATGAAATCATGATTTTTTCTCTTTGAAAAATTATTTGCTAATGGGTTAGATTGTCTAAAAATGGTCTAAATCACAACTTATAAGTCATGAAATCTTAATTCTGGACTTCGTGAAATAATTTTTTAATAGATACAAATAAGCAGAAGTGGCCAAAAATTTTGGATTATATCTCATGAAATCATGATTTTTTGGTCTCCGCCTAATTATTTGCCAAAGGATCAAAAAGAATAAAAATTACAAAAAAATCGTAGATTATAACTCATAAAATCTTTAATTTTGGACTCCACAAAATTACTTACCAATCATTAGTGACAACTAAAAATGCCCAAAAATCTTGGCTTAGCTTATCACATGGCAAGTTTTCGACTCCGCGAAATTATTTTGAAATGGATAAAAACTAATAAAAATGGTAAAAAATTGTGGATTACGATTTATGAAACCGTAAATTTTAGGCTCTGCGGAAATTATTTGCTAGCAGGTAGAAATGAATAAAAACGGTCTAAAATCGTGGGTAATAACTCATGAAATCATAAATTTTAACCTCCATAAAATTATTTGTCAACAGGTCAAAAATTATTTGCTGATAGGTAGAAATGAATAAAAATGGCCTAAAACCGTAGGTTAGAGCTCATGAAACCATGAATTTTGAACTCCGCATAATAATTTCCCAATGGGTCAAAACGAGTAAACACGTCCACAATCATGAGTTATAGCTCATGAAATCATGAACTTTGGTCTCTAGAAAATTATTTGCCAAAGGGTAAAAATCGATTTAAAATGACCAAAAATCATGCGTTATAGCTCATGAAATCACTAAGTTTAGCATCCACAAAAT